TTTTATGTTTACGGGACGAAATGTGTATTTTTATGCTTATAGGATGAATTGTATATTTTTTATTTCATTATTGTTATTTTTTCTAATTTTTAGGCCCAAATAATCTTTTTTTGGCTCAAAATTGAAAAATGAAAATTAAGCCCAAAATGAAAAAAATAAAATTGAAGGCCCAAAACAAGAATTTTGGATTTAACCGGTTAACCGCCAAACCGGACCGTCCAATGCGGTTCGGATTGTGGTCGGTTAAAAAATAAAACCGGTCCGGTTATGGACAAGAAAAAAAATTAACCGTTAGGTCCGGTTTGGTCATGGTTTGGGCTAAAACTGGACCAATCCGGACCGTGAACACCCCTACTGTAAATGGCGAATATGGCGAGAACGTGTTGAAGAAGAAGAGTGGTACCTCTTTCATGGTGAAATGACCATTATGCCCTTAATTTTGTTGCTTTTGGGCCAGATTTTAAAGACTTTATGGTTGGTTTTTTTGGGGGCCTGTAAATGGGTTGTTTTTTTCTGTAATGAGGCTATGTAAATGAATCCATTATTTGTTTTGAATTTTAAAATTTCGATTATCTCAGCTATATAATGACTTTATTTTTTAAAATAATCGAACAAACCAAGCTATATAAAAAATGTTCATTATATATATATTTGGTATTTTAAACCGAAATAATATAAATTATTAAATAATATATATATTCATTTCGAATGTTTATATTAATTCACTTAACTGATCGAATGGCAACAAGTATACATTATTGTTTTTCTACGAGCAATAATTTAACTTATGAAATAATAAAATCATAAATATTAAATATATTTTTTATAATATAAAAATTTTGATAAAAATTGATAGATTTCAATATACAAAAAATATTACATAATAAATATACTTTATTAATACAAAATAATAAATTATTTCAATTATTTAGATTAATTGATGTTCAATTATATCTACTAAATTTGGTTCTAAAAAGCATATAGTTTATATGTGCTCATATAAATATTGCACTTTATATGTCAACATATTGCATTTTATAAACTAACACGTTGCACTTTATCAACATGTTCCACAATTAACGTCAATATATCCCTCCAAAGTACCACACAACATAAATCTAAGAAACAAATATACGTGATATTTTAACATCAATTACATCATTTATCCACACAAAACACAAACATGGTAACGTACCGAAATTATAGTATATCACTTAATAAATCAACACGTTGAACCTTATAAAGCAACACGCTGCACTTTACAAAACTACACGGTGCACTTTATCACGACTATCATATTGCACATTAGATATCGAACCGGTCGGACTCAAAATTTTTTCAACCAAAAACATATAAAAATAGTAAAATAAGATTGTTAATATATTATATTTGATTTAATATAAATAACTTGAGTTGGGACAAAATTTATGCTAGTGACATCGGAGAATATGAATATTATTATTATTATTATTATTATTATTATTATTATTATTATTATTATTATGATTATTATTATTATTATTGTTAATATTATTATTATTATTACTACAGCGGGTGTACATTAATGTTGCACGAAATGTAAATTAATGATAATGATTACACAATAACAAATGATACTGGCCGAACTAATATTTTCAGTCTAGTCAGTTAGCCGACCGAATGAACCAAGCTTCAGTCCGATTTTAATTCAATTTTGGATAAGAGGTCGGTCGGTTCATTTTTCAAATGTTCGACGGATGACCTATACGAGAAATATCCGTATTACTCAAAACAAACGACCTATATGAAAAATATTATTAATATTTTTATATATTTTTATGTATGACGAGTGCACTTATGTTATACACATTGCACATTAGTGACTATTAGATTGCACAATATACCTCGACCAAACTAAAAATTTTCAGTTCGAGAATTTAAATTCACTTCAATTGCCAATTTATAAATTTAAAAATTCGGTTACGCTAATTTGATATCGGATTTTTATTTACTTACATAACGAGCGACCGGCCTATATAGAAATATTTTATTATAATATTTCATGTAAAATATTATTAAAGTTCAGCCATAAAAGTACAAAAATATTAAAATATGAATAAAAGTTTGATTAATATTTTTATGTATGACGAGTGCACTTTAGGGTTATACAAATTGCACATTAGTGACTATAGGATTGCACAAATCGAACTACCTCGACCAAAATTAAAATTTTCAATTCGAGAATTTGAATTTCAATTAAATTGCCATTTTTTTTTACATATAACAACTCGTTTATACCATTTTGATATCGATTTTTTTTTTATTTTAGATAAACTTACAATCGAACAATATAAAAAATATTATTTTCATTTTATTATTAAATTTTTTATGTAAAATGATATTAAATTTCAGATATAAAATTACAAAATGTAAGATATTAAAATATTAATAATAGTTTGATTAATTATAATTTCACCCATGAACTTAATTGCAATATATAAAAGAATTATAAATTTGCAACTGGACCCCTACAACTTATCAAATTCACAAAAGTAAGCCCCTTTCCATAATATGAAAATCTTTTGATTTTCAGGGCACTTCACCTCCGGCCGAGTTCACCTCCCTCCCGTTCACCGATGGACCTTTGTCGGCCGCCGTCTCAATCGACCACCTCGATGTCAACAATCAACGGTTGAATGTCGCTGATGGCAGAGCTCGCCGGCGACGTCACAACACCAACGGCTGCACGTCGCTGCAACAGGGTTCAACGGTGGGGGATTTTGTGATAGAGGGTGAGTCGTAGGCGGAAGGCGACGGCGGTGGGTGACGTATTGACGGAAACCAGCTGCGGGTGGCGGGATCGGGCGATAGCGTGGCGGATCTGGGTGAGGTCCGAGGCGTCGGGCGGTGGCTGTGGGATGGGGTTCCGCCGTCTGAACCACGTCTGAAGCTTCGTGAATAGATAATCGCCGTCGACATGGGATCTCTCGCAGGCAGAGAAGCTTTGTGACGGAGTTGACGTACGGCAGAGGCTCTGGCGGCGACGCCGGACAGGACGGGCGGAGCTTGTTGCAGCGGCGGACCGTGGCACGGCTGATATGCGGGTTGCCGGCGGGCTTTTATTTGTGACTGTGTGTGCGTGCGTCTGTGTATGGAGAGAGAGAGAGAGAGAGAGAGAGAGAGAGAGAGAGAAGTGGGAGAGATAATAGTGCGTGTGATGTGTGTTGTTGGAATTGGTGGGGGTGGTTTATGAGTAGGGCCCACTGAGTTAGTAGGTTGCTAAAATTACATCATTGTCCTTTAATGTATTTATTTCATCATGTTATAATCACATATTTACAATTTTGCCACACATATTTAACCATTATTAATAAATTTTGAATTCATCATGTCCATTGATATGATGGATCCAATGGTAGAGATTAATTCTTAT